TGCAATTTCAAAGTTAAATTGTAACATACTGTTTTATAATTGTGATTTTTTTTCCCCAAATTCTGGTAAAAATTCAACACGGATTTATAAATCACACATGTAGGAGCATGTTATTTTATAAAATTTAAAGAACTGGAAGAGGACGTCATAATTTTTTTGGGAATCATAAACGAAAAAAACTTTGATTAACGATTTCTCACGTTTCTTTTAACTTCAAAACATTTCCAAGATTTAAGAGCATCCGGTTTGCAATTTCAAAGTTAAATTGTAATTTTTTTCTCAAAAACCTGGATCTCTAGTATGTAATTTATAAAATTTAAGGAACATTTATTCGGCAAACTTATAAATCAACGTCATCAATTTTTAGGGGGGCATAAACGAAAAAAAAATATTTACGATTTTAAAACGTTTGCAAGTTTTTAGAGCATTCGGTTTTGTAAACCTCGAAAAAAATGATGGCATCATCTCAAAATTTTGCCGAATAATTCCAATCGAAAATGTGCAAAATATAATGAGTGTATACTTGTGATATATTTTAATGATTAAATCAAGAACTGCAAAACCGAATGCTTTGAAATCTTGCAGATGTTTTAAGGTTATAAAGAGCATAGTAAATGTTTAGTCAAAATATATTTGCTTATCCCCTCCAAAAAATTGATGACGTCAGCTCGAAAGTTTGCCGAATAAATCCTATCTAAACTGTAAAAATATGATGAGTCTGTACTTGTAATTTATCACTCCATTCATATTTTTTGGATTTGCATATACAGGGTGACTCAAAAAAATTAATGAATGCGTAAATATATTTTATTGATTTAATCAGGAACTACAAAACCGAATGCTCTGAAATCTTGCAGATGTTTTAAGGTTATAAAGAGCATAATAAATGTTTAGGCAAAATATATTTGCTTATCCCCTCCAAAAACTTGATGACGTCAGCTCGAAAGTTTGCCGAATAAATCATATCTAAAATGTACAAAATATGATGAGTCTGTACTTGTCATTTATCACTCCATTCATATTTTTTGGATTTACATGTACAGAGTGACTCAAAAAAATTAATGAATGCGTAAATATATTTTATTGATTTAATCAGGAACTACAAAACGGAATGCTCTGACATCTTGCAGATGTTTTAAGTTTATAAAGAGCATAATAAATGTTTAGTCAAAATATATTTGCTTATCCCCTCCAAAAACTTGATGACGTCAGCTCGAAAATTTGCCGAATAAATCATATCTAAAATGTACAAAATATGATCAGTCTGTACTTGTGATCTATCACTCCATTCATATTTTTTCGATTTGCATATACAGGGTGATTCAAGAAAATAAATGAACGCGTAAATTTATTTTACTGATTTACTCAGGAACTACAAAACCGAATGCTTCGAAATCTTGAAGATATTTTAAAATTATCATAAGCATGGTAAATTTTTGATCAAAATGTATTTGGTCGTCCCCCCTAAAAAATTTATGACGTCACCACAAAATTTTGCTGAATAAATCCTATCTAAAATGTACAAAATATGGTGAGTCTCTTCTTGTGATTTATCATTCCATGCAAATTTTTTCGATTTGCATATACAGGGTGACTCAAAAAAATTAATGAATGCGTAAATTTATTTTATTGATTTAATCAGGAACTACAAAACCGAATGCTTTGAAATCTTGCAGATGTTTTAAGGTTATAAAGAGCATAATAAATTTTTAGTCAAAATATATTTGGTTATCTTCTACAAAAAACTGATGACGTCAGCTCAAAAGTTTGCCGAATAAATCGTATCCAAAATGTACAAAATATGATGAGTCTGTACTTGTGATTTATCATTCCATTCATATTTTTGGATTTGCATATGCAGGGTGACTCAAAAAAATTAATGAAGGCGTGAATTTATTTTATCGATTTAATCAGGAATTTCAAAACCGAATGCTTTGAAATCTTGGGAATATTTTAAAGTTATTATAAGCATGGTAAACTTTTGTTCAAAATGTATTTGTTCATCCCTCCTAAAAAAATTGATGACGTCACCCTTAAATTTTGCTGAATAAATCCTATCTAAAATGCAAAAAATATGATGAGTTTGTACTTGTGATTTATCATTCCATTCATATTTTTTAGATTTTCTTAAGAGGTGGTTCAAAAAAATTAATGAAGTCAATTTATTTTATTGATTAAATTAAAGGCAACACTTATTATTAGTATTACACCCCAACCAACCCAATTTGGTAGACACAAAATTTGTTAAAGGAAAAACTCGGTTGAAACATAAGGGTAGTAGGCTTATTTACATCGACTTTAACATTACAGACCTGGATTTGTTTTATGCGCTCACTTGGTTCCGCGAATGTGGAATAGACATGTTTATAATCAACCAATTGTGAATTTCACCGTCAAGAATTAAAATAAAACCCAATGTTTTATATAATAAGCGGAAGTCGAAGCAATAAAACCGATGGTCGTTTTGTTTACAGTTTCTCTGTTTGACTCTCACGTATGCTGTTACGCTTGTCATCTTAAATTAAGAATGTTTATACATAAACGATTTTCAGTTGCCTTTCATATTACTAGACAGCGGATTTTTGTCGGGCTACGTCACGTTTAATCGGTACTAATTCCATAAATATAATTAACGATTTATTAATCAAATGGCTAAGTAAATGAGAACGGGAATTAACAGCAGAGTGCAACGAAACAGCGTTATTCTAATCTCAAATAATCGAAGTGCAGTTCGCAACCGCAATGAATTCGCATCCCGTACGAGCCGTACCGAGTTTGGCCTTGCCTAGCCCGACAGAAATCCGCTCTCTAGATATTACACACCGACGCCGTATACGTGAGTAAATTGTTTCGTTATTTTATTGATTATAAGAAATCAATATTCAAAACGACCCAATTAATTTTCCCGAAAATTTGGGAATACAATAATTTTATTCTTAGTATTACACTACATCTATCCCAACTGATATACGTGTCCTTGCAAAAATGTTGATGACGTCATCACAATTTTTTTTTAAATTCCCACTACAAAAATGTAATGAGAAAAAAAAACACAATAGGCATGCAGTCGTCAAGTTTCCGACAGCGAGGGAAGTACTGTCTAAACTCTTTAGACCAATTTTTTCTTAAAAAAAAACTGGATTTATTTCATTGTACTTCAGAGGTGAGAGAAATTCTGTCTAAAAACTTAAGATCAATTTTTGTCCTATGCAGGTGACCACCTGAAGGCTGATCGCTACCAGGGGAGGTTCAGGTGGACCAATGCCTTGGTGGGTTTGGCTACTTACTTCTTGCGATTTTGTCTCTGATTATGACACACTTTTTTTACTTCCCGAGCGTAGGCAAAGGAAGTATTGTTATCGAGTCCGTCGGCCGACTCTACCGTTACGTTTTCTCGATCTTTCATGACCCCTGGAGGACGAAGAAATAAATCTCCCGTTTCCGTCTGGCTGTCCGTCTGTCCGTCTGTCTGTCTGTCTGTCTGTCTGTCTGTCTGTCTGTCTGCCGTCCCGGATTTTTATTAGACAGATAATCTCCGAAAATACTCGACCGATTATTGTCAAATTTTGTGTTTATGTTAGGAATATCATGTAGATGGTAAAACGCTAACCAAAATTTGTCTAATCATCTCCACCAATAATGTGATGACGTCACTTTAATATTGTAGATAGGGTTAAATTGTATAAAATAACATTGTCCCACACATGTAGTTTATAACTCCGAATTGAGTTTTTATCAGAAACGTCCAGATTTTTGAAAAAAAAATCAAAATTATGAAACAACATTTTGCAATTTAATTTGGAATCTGTAAAACCGAATGCTCTGAAATCTTGCAAATGGTTTACAGTTAAGATAAGCATGATCAAAACGTATTTGCTAGTCCCCCTTAAAAAAATCGATGACGTCACCCCCAAATTTTACTGAATAAATCTTATCTAAAATGTACAAAATATGATGAATCTGACTTGTGATTTGTCATTCTATTCATATTTTTTGGATTTGCATATACAGGGTGAATAAAAAAAAAATTCGTGAATTTATTTTATTGATTTAATCAGGAATTACAAAACCGAATCCTTTGAAATCTTCGAGTTGTTTTAAACTTATCATAAGCATGGCAAGTTTTTGATCAAAATGTATTTGCTCATCCCCCTAAAAAATTAATGACGCCACACTATCTTAAATGTGCAAAGTATGATGAGTCTATACTTGTGATTTGCCATTGCATTAATATCTTTTAGATTTGCTTACACGGGGTGTCTGAAAAAAATTATGACTGAGCCAGTTTATTTTATTGATTAAATCAAGAACTGCAAAACTGAAAACTTTGAAATTTTGACGTTTTGAAGTTATTGTAAGCATACATAACGCCAACGTGGAGCAGAACGAGAAGGATCAAGCTACATTTGTAGTGTTATTTTTTGTAATAACAGTAAACATATTGATCAAAATATTTGTCTAAAATTTAACACTTTAATGACAACATTGTTTAATTGGACACTTTTTCGTTCTACATAAAACTTGGGTGATTCTTCCTCCATCAACATTACTAACCATATTTACCAAAAATTGTAAAGTAGAAAAGCAGTCGATTTTTCACGCAGTCACCACCATATTCTTGTCGAGCTTCGGTCATTATTATTAAGTTCTACGATATACTTTACATATTTAACAATAAACTAAAAATGTCTTGGGCGCCCAAAAATATTGCAAGTTGACGTATTTTTAAGGCAGTGAGTACATCCCTACTTGAAAAAGTGTCTACGTGTGACACATTTGGTAAGACTTCAGAAATGGTGTGTTGTTAGTGAATAATAGTAGCGTTTTCAAAATCCCGTTTTTGAATAGATGTGTTTAAAGATTATTTCTGCAATTTATTGATACCCACATTATGGGAGCAATAAATTCTGAGCAGCATTTGCTCCGTCCCGTGTGCAGTTCCTCTTCGGTAAAGTTACGGTACATGTGCGTCGATTGCCGCAATCTGCTTCGCTGATTACCCGCTTTTCCTATTTGCAGCAGTCGTCTGAGTAACTGCAACAAAAACTTTAAATTTCGTGTCTCCGTGTTTGGGTGCTGTGGTGAACTGTGCTATAAATTTAATATGGAGATAAGAAACCATGGTGAAGCATGGTGGTTGTGACTCACACCGAAATTTGTATACCTATTACTTACAGCCAGGATTTTTTTAGAGGAAGGTTGGTGTTTTTTTTTTGTTAGTGCGCTTTGTCAGAATATGTTTCCGTTGTTAATAAATAATTATAAGCGAATTCAAAAATATAGTATTAAAAAAATAAACACTATGAATGAAGAGTGAGTAATAACATGACATTTAAATCCTTATTTTTTTTCATTGGATTTATCATGCGTGATTTTACACATACTGCAGATGACGTAAGACCAAAACTATAATACGTTTTAAAAATATGTTCAGATGTCAAATGCTCCACATAAAGGTCGCAAGTGAATCTTACTCGTCGGTATACTAGAATATTTAGTGCAAGTGAATGAACACGGAAGGTCAAGAAACTGCAGTTAACAAACGTCTCGCAACCAACCGGCTGATCGTGAATTGAACAGATGTGTATTAGAATTTATTGCAAAAATTATTATTTGCTGTTCGTATAGACCATCTCTAATTTATCCAGTTGTCGACACCATTCATGGTGTAAAGTAGCTACCATTTTCAATTTAATGTGGCTTTCTATTTTGTTAAAATTCATAATTGGAGAGTCAGTGCTGTTGAACTGAATTATAAAATAAATGATAAATTGTTGTCTGTTACAGTTTCTCAAAGCACTGTATAGAAAAACTAATAATTTCAAATTTAAGTAGAAATTTCAACAGAGTTCAAGCTTTAATTAATTCTGAAGTGTACTAGATCTTGAACTTCAAAATAAATGGATTTTAACATTCACTTGTAGTAATAAAAATAAACCGTTTTAGGATACACAAAAAGTTGAAGGTTATTTTCATGACTAGAAGGTGATCGTAGGTATGCGTCGAACTAGTGACCCAGGCCACTATTGGTATCCTCCTTTCCAACTAGGGGGTCATCATAATCTCGTGTCATGTTACATGTTGTATAAACTGGTTTAGCGATGAGCTTTATTTAATTACTCTATGTTATATTTTTTAAACAAAAATTATCTTATTTCATTAGAATTCTATGTACGTATTTTATTAATTATACGGTTCGTACCCATATTTATCGGTATTGAAAGTTTTTGTTGGTATCTTTAATTTCACTTATTTGGAAAGTGGACATTACTGGCAACCAGTATGTGTCAACAAATCCCAGAAATGGTTGCACTCCGGATAGTGCAGACTTCTTATTGCACAAATTGGATGCATTTGATTAGCAACTTTTCTCATATTTCATTATTTACTTAGTGTTTATGGATCATTAATCGTCTTAGCCTAGTTAACAAGCCTTGTATGTTTAGCCGCTAAAATTAATGGTGTCGGCAATTTATATATGCCTCATTTGCATCTGCAATTAACAAGTGAAATTCTTGGGCAAAGTTTTCGTCGTAGGTAGAATACCGTTCAAAGTGTTTACAAAATAAAAAATAAACAGTTGTGTTAATGAGAATAATGGGTGAATATAACATAGTGGCAAAATAATCCGTAAATAACTAAATGTAGAAAGGTAGAGAGTGACAGATGGTAAGTCGCATCAGCATCCGTTGAGGTAGATTTCTACTCAGTTGTTCTTATTGAGTTGTCATGATGACAAAAATTTCACAGGTTTTATAAAGATAGTTTGATTTGTTGTCATTTTGGTTATGAATTGTGTTTTTCATTTACTTAAGGTAAGTTTACTTTTGAGTATTAATGATAAGACACAAAACAGACTGATTTAAAAAAACATTTAATTTTAATTTAACAGAAATTTGTTGCTTGTTTACGTTCTTTTCTACCATGTGGTGTTATGTTGAAATAAGAATATTAATATCCTCATTATACTTCCTATTTGTACCGAGAAAACCTTCAAAAGAGGGTAAGTTTTAAGGACGTTTTACACTGCGTAGTTAATTACAGAGAGCATAAAACGAAACATTAAAAATTAAAAAAAAACTCTTGCCTACGTGTTTGAATAGGCAATGGACAATACCGATGTAACGAGTTCATTAAGATAGGCTGTTCACGTAATGAATATTGTATAAGGTCATTTTCTCATACACGTTAAAAATAACGGGTGCTCACTATCGACTTTTCAAAAAGTACATAGAAACTAGAGTTTTTCTTGAGTGACTGAACATAAACTAAGTAAATATTGTATAGTAAGGGGGTCGTTTAAACCAACCACTGTTTATGTTCGAGTTTTCTCAACGTTGTACAAACAATACAAACATGCCGAACTTCCGTTTCCATTTTTCTGCCCTCTGTGTTGATAATTTTGTGAAACACATAATTTCCTAAACTACTGGACTGATTACTGTGTTTTGAGTGTTTGTTAAGAATATTTTGTAGGCGGTGCAACAACACCCAAAATTTGTCGTCCATCCCCACCAAAATATTTATTAGATCATCTCAGAATTTTGCCAAGTTAGTCGCACTTGAAATTTATATTGGCACATACTTCTTCATTTGTAGTTTAATAGTATGTCCATGTATTAAATATACATATACATTATTATAAAAAAAACAAAGTTGGTTGGATGAAATTTTACAATTTATACTACAGCCAGTGCATATAAGGAAGTTCTCAATAATTAAATAGGATACTAAACATGGATTTATTTTTTGTTATTTGTTTGTTAGTATATTTTTTGTAAAACTGTTTATTCAGGATGATAAAACACAATAATTCTCAGCTATAGTTTTGTCATCTTTACGGCTCTTTATCGTATTTGCTCTTATTTTTGTTAGGAATAAATTACATAAAAAGTCTGCAAAATTGTATAACTATTTATGTTACGACTTTCTGAGAGGTATAACAATAGTGCTGTGAAAACTTTTACTTTCTGTTTTGCTTACATTAGTAGTTGTACTTTGATTGTAAACTAGTGTACTGTTGTTCACAGCTGAAGTTTTGTTTCGGATGTTTTACAAACCGCAGGGGTCATTAAAACAATAACAATCTCAATAATAAAATGAAAAATTTACACACTACTCAATTTGTTAGAGCTTCCAAGCAAGATATCTTGCTGGGAACTGTCAAGAGGCTAAGATGACGTTTATCCCTAAGTAGGCCCTGGAGGAATTAAGTCGTCCCGCCCCATTAGTCTTACGGAAATAATATACATAAATAAATCCTCCTACAGAATAGAGTAATAAATATGTAAAAAAAAACTTGTCTAGAGTTATTTGGATAGAATGAACTTCCCTCATCCCTGAAACACAAGCAAAAAATTAAGGAATTAATTTTATTAATTAAATCAACGGTTTACTTAATTTCCCCGAATCTCAACAGTACTATTGCTGCTTATTACTTATTCTTATTAGTATTCTCTTCCCAGTTTAAAGTGGTTTTTATGACAAGGTAATAAACATTATCACCTCATTATTACCCCAGACGGACAATATGAGTTGAATAACAAAGAACGGCCGTGCAAGAACCAACCACTTCCTTATTTACGGCTAGCGATTTATTCCATTGTCCCCAGCATCAACTTTGACACAATGGACCAATCATAAAAACCACTTTAACTTGGGAAGACAATATTGCAGTATACGTATAAAAACTGAAATATGTATTTGTTGACAGAAAATATATTCAGATAATCCTACTCCTGTGCCTGGTGTTATCCATCTCTATTTTTATCTTAACGTAGAGGAATTATTGTAAAAAATAATAATTGTGGAACAATATTTTATAATTTTATATTGATTCTGAATTATAATTTTGTCGTCCAATCATGATCGGCTTAGATGAGATTAGAGTTGCGGACGTTTATAAAAAGAAATTTGCGAATTGTATTGTTAAAACTTTTGTGTACTGCGCAAATGCAGTTGTAAGGTTAACCACCCCTGACAACTTTTCAAATTAATTTTGTAAACACAAATAATCGCAGACTCCGGGTCCAGATAACAAGTTGTATTTGTATCAAATAAATAGTGAAAGCACTTCATCCTATCTCACATTATTATATGATCCTTCAAAACGATTAACATTTAGTTGTCGAGCTATCGAACAGTATTTACCCGAAAACTTTGTCGACAAAATTATTTTGAAATATGCAAGCATTTTTTTGATAATAAAATTCAAGACGATTGACTGATGATTTCCGTAATGTAGTTGATGAAATGCAAAAAAGTAGCGGCTCAAGATTTGAATCTTGCAGGATTCCTGTACTTGGTATACAGGGTGTCCCAGAATTCGCGCCATTCCCGTGAATGACATGTTCCCTCTCCCGAACTGTGCCGTAATTCGCAAAAAGAATTGTCCAGGCTTTAACCGTGTGATAACTGGAAGGCGATTAAGTTGACCAATAGAGAGGCTGCTTTTATATCCGAACGTTTCTATGTTCAAAGTTACCTATGCCAAGAACAAAAAATCGGGTAATACTAAAGTTGAATGAATTTTTTCCAAATCCCCCTCCGTCAACAAAAAAAACAGAAGTATGGTTATAAATTTAATCATTTTGACAATTGTTTGTCATAAACTGTCACGAAGTTCATCACTGACCTGAAGAGACGCTTCTGCGCCAAAGATGACTGATTAATGTACACAGAGAGGTCAAGGTTTACTTTAAGGCAAGTAGCATGGAACAGAAGTTATTTCTGCTGCCATTCTAGTTAAATTGTATTTAACTGGGCTGTACATGTCGTAAGAGAAGCTGTTTCATTTCATCGTAGGCAAATAATACATTTATTACTATTCTACACAGTGTAGATACCGAAGAGCAAGTATTAGAAGTCATTTTCTTAGAGCCCCGTGAATAATGTGTTGTTCTTTTTAACAAAAATTAGTACATTTTCAGAATTCACTATGCATCATATCAGTGATATTAAGTTTATCGTTATTTCTAAAAAAGAGTACCACATGTCCATTCAAAGAACGTTATTAAGTGTACTAAAACATAAATATCGCTTTTGATTAATCGGTGCTTATGATTTTCAATAAACAGTATCAATTTTTACTAAACAGCTTTCTTGCTGATACCTAATCTAAGCAACGAAAAAAGAGACGAGACTCCAGTTCTCTGGTGTATTAAGATCATAGGTATCTGCTGTGGTGTCAATCATGTGG